AACTCGGGGGATCAACCGCTCGAAATGCTCCTCGAAGCTCCAACGGCTGTCCAGGGTGAGGCCGAGGTATTTGATGTACCGACCGACCTCGACCTCTGTTCCCCCCACTCTGATAATCGAGCGGGTGGGAACTGCACCTCTGCGTTTCCTATGGAACCACAGGGCTTCCGTCTTATGAGGGGCAACCGTTAGACCCAGACCGCTGATCTTTTGGACGACACAAGTCACCCCTGACTCGGCGAGCTCTAGGACCTCCTGGAAGCCATGCCCCCCAGCCAGTACCAGAGTGTCGTCCGCATAGCAGACGACACTCAATCCTGGGGGAAGGCTGGTCCTCAGAACGGCATCATACGCGAGGTTCCACAGAAGTGCTCCTAAGACTGACCCCTGGGGAACCCCGCATGTGACCTCCCTTCGGCAATCTTCGCCGTCCCGACCCATATACGATATGGACCTGTCGCGGAGATAAACCCCGATGATGTCTCGCAGGTACGGGGGCAACTGGTGATACACCAGTGCCTCCCTAATCGCCCACCACGGGAGGGAGTTAAAGGCGTTGACTATGTCAAGACTGACGGCCAACGCCACTCCCCCCCGACAGACAACCTCTTCCGACAAGGAGCGGACGCGTTCGATCGCGTCTAGCGTCGATCGTCCCTGTCGGAAGCCAAATTGGTTGTCTGATAAGTCAGGGCCCACTCGCGCACAGGTGCTGGTTGATACGGGCGGCAATAACTCTTTCGAAGAGTTTCGCCGCCTCGTCCAGCAGGCATATCGGTCGGAACGCCGAGGGAGAATCTGCAGCCCTGCCAGGTTTCTGGATAAGAACCAGCCTGGCTTCATTCCAGCCGGAAGGGAATATGCTATTACGGAGGCAGCTGGTAAACAGCCGCCTCAGCCTATTCCCTAGAACCGCCAAAGCGCACACCCATGCTCGACCCGGAATCCCATCAGGGCCCGGGGCGGTGTTGCGGGCAGCGAGACGTTTCACGGCTCGGTCCAGCTCTTTCTCCGTCACGTCGAAGTCGTCGGACCACTTCTAAGGAGAGGCCTATGTCCAGCCAGTGGACTAATTACGATTTTTCGAAATATTTAATACTAGCGATCCGCCCCGGCTTTCGCACGGGGGCAATGAAGATACTGCTAATGTGGTGTCAGCGTGGAGTAATTAATTGTACTATTATTGGCATAAGACATCTTTATATGCAAAATTTATAGGCCCGCCAGCTATTTTAAAACTCTAATGTCTACTAAAGATATTCGTTTTAATGATATGCTGTAAAAGGCAATTTTAATTTACATTAAATGCACAACGTACTTAACGTATTTATTTGGATAGGGAACAATACTGTATTGTTCAAAATAACTTTGTAAATCACCCATTATTTTTTGTAAAATGCTTACTTTAGGCTGTCCTTAGGAGATAGACATATACCCTCTTTTTGTAGATCTTTTTAATATGTATAATTTCGTACTGCATTACTTAGATCTATTTCGTTTAAAGTTTAGCCACCGTTAGCAATATAAGAACACAAAAACATGTTTTTTATGACTTCAGATTACAAATCTTTCAGTTCTCGAATTTCCTCTACTAAAATGTGCATGTATTAGGCACCTTACATTTTACTTAAAATAAAGGAAAAAAACAACTTAAATACTTTTTGAATTGATTTATTACCATAAAATTACACAAAAAAGAATGAAAAAAACTTAAAATCTGGTCGGTCCACCTTTGGATTTAATTACTGCACTAATTCTAGCTGGCATGCTGCGTACAAGCTTAGTACAATCCTCCCTTGTAATGGCATGCCATTCTTGTACTAACTCATTTTTTAATGCCGTTTTCGATGTGATACTATGCTCTTTAATCTTGCGCTTCAAAATGCTTCAAAGATGTTCGATTGGGTTCAAATCTGGTGATTGCGCTGGCCAATCAAACAAGTCAATGTTGTTTTCAGTAAACCAACGCATCGTAGTCGCTGACTTATGACATCATCATATTCATCATATTGACATCTTGGTATCGCCGAAAATACTCGTTAGCGAGGCATAAGCGCAGTTTTAAGCACTTTTATGTACTTTTCGCTGTTCATACGACCTTCGCAAACAAACATTTAGCCAACCCCATCAGTAGCCATGCAGCCCCAGATCATTATGCTGCCTCCTCCATGCTTTACTGTCGGTACGACGCAATCTGGATGGTATTCTTCGCCCACACGTCGCCTCACGAAGGTCACGCCTGGCGTTCCAAATATCTGTTGAAAAAAAAAAAACACTTTTTTAAACTGCCTTAACTTTTATTATTTTAGTTAAATAAATAACTGACCATGATTATTAATAACAAAAGCAGTAAAATTTACTTACCTCAAAGTTACATTCGTCAGACCATACCACATTGGCACAATCTTTCTCAGTAAAATGTTGATGCCGTAGAGCCCATTCAAGTCGTTTTCTTTTGTTAGCTACTGAAAGCCAGGGCTTCTTCATGCTTTGCATCCTTTTAAGCCTGCTTCTCTAAGTCTTCTTCTGGTGGTCCGAGCACTTTTTGGCTTTCCAGCCTCTTCGGTCAAAGTAGCAGCAAGCTCTGATGATGTTTTCTTCCGATCTTTCACAAATTCGCGTATTAATTTTCTATCCTCGGGCTTCGAAGTCACACGTTTTCTGCCTGTTCTTGGTTTATTAGCGTGACTGCCAGTCTCAGCAAACCGTTTGATAGCAGATTGCACAGCGCAACGCGAACATTTCAATAACTTAGCAATTTCTTTTTGCGACTTTCCTTGTTCATTGAAAAGTTGTATTTTACTCGGTTTTCCAAACTAATTTCACTTCTTTTCGGCAATTTTAAATAAATTACGAGTCAATTTAATCACTATGTTAGAAATAAAAGCTTGTTTACTCGTTAGAGTCCTGAACACAAGTGACCAAACATTGACTGATAAGAACGCATAAAAACAAATCCTTTGTTTTCAGTCACCAGGTGTTTTATGACCATAACAGATAGCTGCTTGCTTTTCTAGGAAGTTATTTGTGACCCCGGCATGCCATCTAAGATAAGCATTTATTCATTGTTCAATCAGTAAACATGAATTGTGCATTTTTCTGGGGTGCCTAATATTTTTGGCCAAGGCTGTATATATAATAAATGTAAACCTTCCTCTTGAATCATTCTATCTATTAGTGAAAACCGCATTAACAAACTGTTGCTAAGTTTAAAAATCTAAGCGTAAAAGAAAAAAAGCGACTTTATTTTATACTATGTAAAGGAAAATGATAATTGATTGCGGTTCGTTAGTGAGTTGGTCGAACGGCAGTAACTAATTGTTTGAATCAGGTTTTAAGGAACAGAAAAATTAGAATAGTTGCACAGATAGCAAGAAGTTTGTCAATTTCTAAGGAAATTAGGAAAAATTGTAGAATCTGTAACAGGATAACATCTGTCAAAAAATAAACATATTGTATTTACTTACTCACATACAGCATATGGGGTTTTAAAACATTTGGAAGGCATATTTAAAAAATTGTTTTCCGCATTTAACCATATAGAGTGCATTAAGTGCCGTATGGGTAATTAATACTTGATTTGCCCGTCCCAGATACGAGAGGCGCATCGCAAGCTACGCTGGCGCCGGGCCTAACTGTCCGTTGGCATTTGTGCAGGGCGCTCTGACATGAGTTGACATTAGTATAACCACTATCTAACTACATTTACTTTATGTAGTCTTTGCACAAACCATAAGTTGTAGTACATTTAATGAATAACACTAAAAGCTTTGGGATGTTGTGTGATTTTCAATAAAGAACATGTCATACCTGCCTAACTTTAAAAGCATATAAATATTTTGGTGTTATGTAATGTCTGGTGACAAAATATAAGAAAATAATACTGAATATAATTATAAAGAACTCACCACTCTAAGAATATTTAAAAAAGAAGTTAGACTTGCATAAAGCTTGCGTTATTGCATCGGCCGACGCGACGACTGAATGATGGACTGCCCTGACACGAATAGGGCCAACACAAAGCGGCCTAACTGTACGCGACAGGATGACCTGACATCAGATAGGGTGACTTACGACATTCTGCTCTCAATTATGCCTGCTTAACTTGCAACAATGAAATTCAATTCCATTTACTATATTGAGACCAGTATAAGTTATTAATCACGTGAATCTAAATTGTTGATAATGATTGTAAACGATGTCCGTGGTCGACGAATGTTTTACTAATTTGGTACGTATTGGTTACGTCACCGTAGCAAACCTACTTGAATTCCAGTACTTGCATATTTTATGTAAATAACATGAAGATTGCACGACAAGAACAATTGTCGTCAGTCTCGGTCTAGACTTTAAAAAAGTACTCAGTATTTGTTAATGTAGGTGCAGTATTTTGGTATTAATAACAACGTGGTGCAACTGTTTAATTATGTATTAGGCACTAAAAAACATTCTGTCCAATTAGAAGTGATATAAAAAACTAGTTTTTAGAATGATGTACAGAAATAACACTCAATATAATAATTATTTATCGTTTTTGTGTACCTAACCTAATACTAAAATCTTTAAAGCATTTGTATGACCTTTGTATCGTTTTAATAGGATGGTTAACGGTCAAAATGGGTTATCCATACCGTTACATAATTCTCCAGAGTGCATCGGATGAAAATTGATGTATGATCGTTTGGTGATGGTGCGGGTGTGTGGCGGGGCGCGCGGTGGCGGCTGTGGTGCGCGTGCTACTCTCACCGCCTTATCTCTCGCGACCTCCGGTGGACGCGCACGCACGCCGCGCTCTGCACCTCCTCGACCGCGTCGCGTTCGCGCTATGCCGTCTCTTCGACAACAAACTTATGTGCACGCTAGTTTAGTATGTAGTCGGGAAAATTGTATGTGAATCGATTCTTTTGCGTAGTGTTAGCTTATAGAATTGTTCGAGACTTTCTTTGAAACTAAACTAGTTAAAATAAAATACTCAAAACAAGCACTGGAACGTATCGACGATGGTGTCTGAAGGGGCTCTGCCCGTGGTTTGGTGTATACGCGATAATCAACTAGTGCCTCATCAAGTATCCGGTGTTAAGTTACAGGGTGCCGTAACAGGAGCCCATATAGCTGCGGTAACAGACTTTTTGCGTATGGTAGCAGGGACTCCTATTGTTCTACCACACACCGAAGTGTCTGAAGACATTGATAATGACATTAATCAAGAAAAGGAAAACACTACTCGAAGGCGGAAAATTTCAATGCAAGTTGAGGTGCCCTGTGTTTTTCTTACCGAAAGTGCATTACAAAAGGCTAAGAGCCGTAATAATTCTAGAGAAGAACAGATAACAATTGACAAGTGTAATATGCCTACAGCACCCACAATGCTGGAAAGTCAATCTTCTTTTCTCAGTTCCACTGATATTTTAGAAATGCAAGAGCCAGAGGACAATAATTTTGAATCAGGTAGAGATAATTTAAAGTGTAGTGCATCTGAATCTACAGTATTAGTTAGTGATAATCATACTCAAAGGATAACAAGGATTATCGACTTAGACGACTTAAGTCCAAGCACAATAAGTATGGAATCTGAAAAAGAACATCCTCAAAGAATAACACGAATCATTGAATTCGAGAATGAGAAAACATCTTCATCGGTATATAATGATGGAGAAAATGAAATATTACAAAGAATTACAAGAATAATAGAATTAAACGAAGATAATTCATTTTCTACTATTACAAACAACATAGACGCGGAAAAAGAATGCCCTCAAAGGTTGTCTAGGATAGTTGAAGTGGAAAAAGAAAATCACTTTCCTAGCATGACGAAAATAATTGAAATGGAAAACGACATATCAAATGAACGAAGAATTTCTTTGACGAATGAACGTGAGACTGGAGGCGGAGTTATAGAAAATTGTAGTGAGGAAGTGACTATCAGGTCCAGGCTTGCTCATCGAAGTACTCCTAGGTTTAGTCTAGACTCTTCATGCTCCGAAAACTCTTATGTTAATATCGAGTGTATAAAGAGTTTGCAGGATGTAAGAAAAGAGGAAAATGTTGAAAATGTAGTGTGTCCTGAGATTTTCCCTGCAGGGAGGTCTATTCGTTCTCGGTTTCCAAGAAAAAAGACATCCGTATGTTCGATTGGCTCTTCGGACTGCGACGACGAGGTTGATGTAATATTCAAATCCAAACCAAAATCTAGTCAATGGGTAAGTTTGGATTGGATACCTCCGCCTCCCAAAGAAGAGCCAGTGATTATGCAAGTCTGTGATAAAAACGATTTCATTACAAAGTGGATAGCAGAACAAAATTCTCAAGACTCAGTAATTATTGCGGATGAAAGGAGAAAAAGTCTTCCTCCTAAATCGAACGAGATTTATCTTCAAAATATGAGAAGGTTCAGTGACGGATTGCAAATGTGTAAGGAAGATGCAGCTAGCGATTCTCCAGCTACAGTCAAATGGAAATGGCATGATATAGTAAAACGACATCTTCAATTATTGAAGAGTGAGAAAGGTCTTAGACGTCAAAAAGGAAGTTGGATGAGAACAGCGAGACGTTTATCTGGGACTAACATGAACAACAAAGAGTTGGAATTTTTGCCGTTGGATACGTATATGAAACTTCAGACTATGCCGTAAGTACTTAATTATATAGTACAATATTAATCGCCGTTTTTAAATTAAGCCACCCTTTTTTTAAACTACTTGTTTAAAACTACTTACAAATAATGCTAGTGTAATTCCTGTTTATTTCTGTCGTGTCATGTAATATTAGATCTACACAAAGAACATTTTCATGAGTTATTGGTAAATCAAATCAAAGAGAACTATAATTAGCACTTTTAAGGATTACTGCTATCGGGAGGGTTTACTCTGAAGCCTTTAATTAAAGGGGATGTAGTAAATTCCAGATTCATTCTTATATAACGTCTATTCATTTTACAGATTTTTAATGAACTATAATAGCATTAGCCTTGTTTCACTAACGGAAAGATTAAGCAAATAGTTACGGTTTTTCTTGTGTCTGAGATAGTTTCATGTTTATTGATATGTGCACTGTAAAGTTTGTTGATAAGGAGCCGTGTTATGAGAGCAGGCTCGAAGCACGCGCTTCCGCAAGGCCGCTTGATTAGAATGCAGGGAGCTCGCGTCCAAGGCTACGGTTGCGCGGTCGGTCGGTGCACCGGTGGCCGCTTGTCTTCCTCTCCACAGTTCGGCGACTGGAAGTAGGCTCAGGAAGTGAGCCGTGAAGGTGACGTTTACAGACTTAACGGCTTGATAATCGGAAGCAGTCTGTGCTTTGAATTTTCGCCAAATCTTTTGTTTAACAGTTTCCTCTATCCTCTACTTGAATAATTAGGACATTAATAAGTTGGTTTTATTTAGGTATTCTTTTCTTTGGATTGAAGATTAAATATAAAGCTATTTAACTCCATAAACAGTAAATCTATAAAAATATTTGCTGGTTTATAACAATCATTAGGGAAACGGCTTATGCTAAAACGAGGTAAACGGATGCGCCAACGTCAGTTTCACTGAGCCTTGAAAATTACTCCACTTGCACAAACTGCTTATCATAATATAATTGAATTCATCATTATATTCTTAAATGGGTTGAATCACTGTTATAATTTATAAGTAGGATCATTTCCGAAAGTCATAAATACGCCCACGAGGAATATAATTTTACGAAAATTTACCTGAAAGCATCCAAATGCATTCAATCACTCATTTTGTAGGCTCGTGCATCATTTGAGTTTTGTATGTGTGGGCACTTTCCTGAAAACACGAATGTTGTTCTCGACGTGCATCAACATGGCTATTGTACATAATGGACATGACGTTCTTTGACGGAAACAAACGCATTCACATCGAAATATTTGTTTGATTTGTAAATTCTCACAGTTTCTTGCTCCTTCAAGTAAAACTTGATTACCTTTGTATTAAAATGCTAATTAAGGTTGGTACACATTTTTCTTGTATTTTTATTTTTTAAATCTCTTTATTAGAGTGAAGCTCAATGTTCTTAGCATTAAGTAAATAGACATACACGGCTAAATTCAATCTTCTGATGCAAAGCAATAATCAGTTTTTAGTATGTTTTGTAAATATCTAATAGATATGTTACCTTCACTAATACGATCTATATGTAGAAAAGAAATGAAATCTCTCCGGAGTTAGTCCGACCTTCTCAAGTTATTTTTATCACTTTATTTTGCTTTATCTTAGGTTGAGAAAAAAGAAGAAAAACAACGTAAAAAATAATAATAATAATAGTAGTAATAACCATAGTATTGAAAATTATTTCTAACCGGCCTTTTATGAAACACCTAGCGTGGGGCAATCGCTCTATAGAATAGAGAACAACTTAGTTCCATCAAAATTTTATACCCCTTAGATATTCCACGATCACTACCAAATGGCGAATGCTTAGTAAAACGATAGCCAATGCTGTTTTTGTTAAAAAAATTAATTAAAATTTCTCTACAAATATACCTACCAAAAAGAGTTCATGGAATGCATTAAAATTATTTATAGTAGGCAAAATTTATTGAATACTAGCTGACCCGCCCAACTTTGTCTTCATTTCTCAGAAGGAATAAATTTTCCCCGTTTCTGCAACATTTTTAATGACGCCCGACTCCTATTGGTCGTATCGTGATGTTATAAATCCTCCTTATATAATCCTCTTTATAAAGCCTCCCTTGATAAATAGGCTATCCAACACTAAAATAATTTTTAAATCGACCCTGTTCCTTTTCTGTTGGTTCCTGATATTAGCAAGTTCAACCAAACATACTCTTTAGCTTAATAATATTAGTATAGATGTGTGTGTCCACCTTTAATATTTATCAAACACAAATATTCGACGAAGAAAAAAATATTGTTTGTGATTTTTTCCCGATTGCTTTCAACTGAACAACAACATTAGTTTCGTTACCAAATCAAAAAAGTGTTTATTACCAAAAGCACAAATTAATAATAACAAGATATTAAAACAGACAACTTATTTTGTAACATCAATAAAATTGCTCACTTTCACTATATCGAACACTTAGGTTCCGTTTCGTGACGTCTTACAGTAATTTCTGTAGCGTAAAAATGACTTCGTTTTTTTAATATCTTCCATCTCGCTTTCTATTGAAATCGTCAATCATGCTTTTTATATATTATTAATAACTCTCGCATAACAATTACGGCAATAGGTGTAACCCTACAGTTAAAATGTCATACCAGCTGCGAACTCAATGCAAAATGTTCTGTTTATGGAACAATAACTTTGCAATTCAAATGCTTCTTTGTTATAGAAACTAGACACGTGTTAGAAAATCGATGAAAATGACTCGTTTCTTATCAAAAGACTTGAGGTCGTCTCTTGAGAAAGAACAATACAACTGGTTTTTATGATTTGTTTTTACTTTTTATGCGAGTTGAGCGCTCGGCCGCTGCCTGCTAACAGCGACCTCCGTCGTCGGTCGACGATTAATTTGTTACTTTTGCTGATGCTTTTAACCAAACTATATTCGTATAAATCTAATAGTCAACCGCGCTATACTTGTATAGCAATGATATTGGGTACATTCCTACCACTGATTTGCTATTGATTCGTGTTAAAAAATACTGAAGTTTTAAAATAATGCCGTGTTATTATTATTATTAAGTATTATTATTATATGTACATATATTTTAAAAGTCAAATATTGAGTGAAAATTAGTAAAGATTCAAATTAAACACGAACAATTTAGTTCTTCTCATTTTTGCCAAGTTGTATTAAATCGCTGATATACAGCACGTCATCTCATAATTCGGACCCATAGAAAGATTCAATGAACAATCACTTGCATTACTAATTTGTGGTACCAACAGTTATTTGTTTTACGTTTCGCATCAAGTCCTTACACGATAAACAGACGGCATTAACATTTAACGACTCATTGTGAACTTCGCTAATAGTTCGTGGTACGCTGGCAGATTTTAAAATGTTTTATATTTAAAAAAAAAAGCTGCTTTATTAGGTTGTCTACGTCAGTGTCATTAGAACTGTCAAATAAATTGTCTAATCCTATAACTATTTATATCAGCCTTTGAAACCTAGCCTAACTGCACTCGACGTCGTCGGACGTCGTATAACCGACAGACCCCATATGTCACCATTCTTATGAGTAACGGAAAAACCCATATTGCTAAATCCATATTGAAAAATACCGTTTAAAAATACAATTATCCCAAAACGAGGTTTTTAGTTCATGCATCTGACTTCAATAAATTTTACTGACGTTTTTTCACTTTGAACATAATTCGATCAACGTTTGTTTGTTAGATATCGCAATTATAGCAAAGGTATCGAAATAAAAGTAATAAGTATTATAATTTAAATAACCTTATTGATCATTAGGAATTTATTTAAGCAGAACAAAGTTGAATCTTTACAACTACCAATGAATCTTTCACGCTGTTGTAGGTGTTCTCAACGATAGAAGCAGATCTGCCCTTGCGGAACCAAATTCAATTTATTTCGATCTTAAAAGATTTGGTAAATATATCACTGATTGGGGCACACTTAAAATCAATTTTCTTCACAAGCAGAATACCTATTATTATTATTACTTGTTAATAATTTTATAGTTCAAATAACCCATATTGATGATTACTGGACATCCTGTAAGAATTGCCATTACACGTCTGCTCATAATGATTGACTAACAAGGTATTGCAGTCAATATACTCAACTAGTTTGATTAGACTAGAACGGTATGCAGTTTAATTGAGTATATTAAATACAATACAATATATGGACTCGATAACGTAGCAACCTATTCCTAAGTCCTATTATGTGTTCTAAAAGATATTGACCAAACGGTATCGATCTATCGTCTAAAAAAGGACTAGTATGGAAGTTTAAGGCAAGTACTCGTTCATCCCGAGAGGGAGACCCTATAATTAGATTACCCATCTAGCGAGCAACCCGGAGCCAGGCGAGACTGGCTTAGCAAAAAGTTGTGGCTACATCGGCACGCGAAGGTCAATGACCGGCGCTTCTGCTTAACTCGCACTATAATATAAAACTTAGGAATTAAAGTCGCGTAATTAATTTGCCATGAAAGCGACAACTAACGTTGTATACAACGTGTAGCCTCAAAATACTTGTGCACGGTTGAAAACACATCTTAGATATCCATCAATATGAGGTAATTTTGTTCTATATATATAAAGAAGAATATCTAATATTTTACAAGAATTTCGTCGTCAAGTAATTGTTGTCGACTGTTCAAGATAGTGGTTCAATCATAATGAATCCTATGATCTGAAATAAAATTTACAATTCAAGTTTCAATCGGTCGGTGCTTATCATGCTATACTATAGGAATACTTGTATTGAGAACTTGCAAACCGGAAATTCGATTATGTAAGAAATTTAAGAATGATGTTTATTAGGAATTTCCGTCTCCCCACCTGTGACCAACCTTCCTACGACATTCTATTCAAAGTTCATTCTTTGACAGCTGAAATTACGTAACTGGTTTTCAATATAAATATACAACATTTCAATATAAAACCAATATTATTTTATAATAATTAAGTTTTTACCAAATTACAACTATTTGATTATAAAGCGACACTTTTACTCAACTTTTTCCGAACTGTAGACAATGACCTGGTCAAATTTGCACAATGCTATTTGCACTTTCGAAAATCTGCAATTGAAACATACTAGAATAAATATAGCGGCAAACGATCGTTTAAATAAGCTATATTCAAATCGGGAACTGGTCTTTTCATCCGATATTCAAATATCACATATAGATATTACTTTTAAAAAAGCAACGTGCGCATACACTGCTAATCTACAATTCCAATATCTAAATTTCCCTTAAACGCCTATGTTCAATATCTTCTTAGTGTTAATAAGCCAAGTAAGTTACCTAAACTTTAAAATGATATCATGCTGATTTCTTTTGGAATGAAGGCCTAATAAAACATATGATAATAATGAATCACTATATCTACAGATGACGATTTCTCTTCGGCTTTAGGGGGTCAAGGTCGTTTAAGTGACCAATAAAATAACCGCTTCCAAAACTAGAGAGCTTACCAGTTACGTCTGATTTAAACTAATTATACACATTTTTTATGTTTGTTCTTGTCTTCCACATACATGTTTTTTTCCTTTAGTTTGTTATTAGTTTAAGAGTCTTTCACAATTGATTATACCGTACATACTCCACTTGCGATTTGCATATATAAAACAAATTTGCCAAAGCACTTACTTTCCTTGTAATTCTTTTTTGACCCGAAAACAGTTATAATATGGTATTTAGTCCAATTAGTTACTTTTTATCATCTGTGAAAACGACAATTTTGTATGAAAAATGTACTAAATAGCAACTTATGACGTCACTACGTAATTTTCATTTCAATGTTTATTTGATTTAAATTCGTAATATTTATAAAAAGCAAGAATAATTATATTTTCCGAGATCTTTTCTGAAATTTGTTTTAAAGAAGCGGACATTGTTATTTATTTATTATACCGTTAACTACCCTATTTGCTTTAAGCCATTAGGATTTATTTTAAACAAGCTCTAGATTAGACTTGATCGGTCTTTTTGGTACAGATAATTTTTTGTTTGTATTTATTAGATACATATTAAAACGTTACACCTTTTAATAAAATAATAATTTCCGTTGAGTCACGATAATCGATATTTTGTGCACTTTCTATTTGATAGATATTATGCAGGAAATCACTGTTATTTGTCTATTCAGAATACGTTTCTACGTTAAGACCTTCGACACTATCTGCTAGCTACCGATCTATGGCCCTAAGTATGCCCTTAGTGCGTGACGAGGTCTCAACGAAGGCATTCTTGGCTACAGCCCGTGGGCGCCCTTTTCATGTCTTATTTTTATAGCTGATGCGACATTGTTTAAATCATTTTCCTTCACAATATTATCTGAAGCTGCTATTGATTATATGACTCTTATATTATAGCCTGTTTGATTATTATAGTAATAACCGATTCCAGATGAAAGTGAGCTTTTGAATTGTGTTGGTGTTATTTGAAAAAATACTTCAGCTGTACATGTTAACATAATAATATACATATTAACATTCTATATTATATATGTTTATATATTGTAATTGATCATATTGAAGTTATTCTGTTTATAAAAGTAGGTCATCGATTGACCTTTATGATACGTATTTCGAAGTTGAATACAATCAACATTAGTCAGTTCAAGAATAATATTATGTATTTCAATCAATGAGTCTAGCTAGCAGTTGTCTTTGTGTCATTTAAATTTTTGATACTAAAAATCGAGATAAGTATAGTAAAAGGCATTTTTAGCCCATGATTATGATTAAATCAGTTGTGAAGTGACACTAAAATGTGTTTAGATCTGAGTTGGCGTTGATCTTAGTGTTGTCCAGAAGCCACGATAACTTAACTTGCCTTGTTTGAATCCTTTCTTAAAACAAGATGATCACTTAATACATTAAAATATAGTAGTTCTACTAACATTACAAGTAATTTTGAAAGTAATGTGGGCTTAAAATAACTTCATTCAGCTACTTTAATTTCTTTTTACGCTTTCAAAGTAAAACTGAATACATTTTCCAAAATGGTAGATATAATTAACACCTTTAGAGATATTTAAAATATGTAAATCGTACCGTGTTTTTTGAATTACGAAAGACATAGATGCTTTGCATTTTATCTTTAACAAACCATAATATAGAATCTTTATAGATGGATACCTGGGTACAGATAGCTATCGTATGATGAGTTGTCCATTTAATTACAGAGCAAGAATCCAGTGAACAGCAGTAATCAATGAACAATTAGTTTTGCAGTCACGAACAAACTGAAATTGTTGTTCTGTCGTTGATGATGCCATCCATAATATAGTGCTTTAAAGTGCACCCTCCCAAGAACTTCTTTGAAGAATTATTCTGTTTTCGATTAAAACAAACATATAATTAATATCTAAAAATAACCCACTACCTTGATTCAATTGCATAATATCGATGCCATAGTTTAGTAATTGTTACTAAACTGTTTTCACTTACAAGGTTGTCATAGTAAGTTGCAGCAGTTCTAAAAATATGATCGTTCCAAGAGATAGAGCCTCTTTTTACAGCTCGCAGTTATTTTATCGTTTTAGAGCTATACCACTTAGATACTATTTTTATATCAAGAGCCCGTCGACCTCGCCCGTCTGTCGCGCGGGATTTGATGCAATACTAACTATTGTCAGACCCCTACTGCTTTGTTTTGCAACCGCCCTGACTGAGAAATAAATCTGAGTTTTACTCTTTATAGTACTGTATATAATTGCCATACTGTATATATATATATATTTATATATATGTATGTCTAAATAGCTATTTCACTTGTCTAAAATTCGTAGTGGACCGTAGGTCTGCTGTTATATCTTTTCTGTGACAAATTATGATTCATGTTTAGCATGGGCTTATAAGTTAAAAGCGTTAACTATACTAAGTTTGTCTCTCCCGTCGGACGCAGTCGCAAACATACGACAATTGAATGCAGAATAGCATTCATTCGTGCTTGTTGAGTCATCATCAACGCTTTCTGTATGAGAGAGGTACCAATCCTATAAATATAGTCATAGTACTTCTGATAATGACTTTACATTATACGTAATTACGGTATTTTTGACTGTTTATTTACCTAAAAGTTTTAACAACTATTGTTAATTGTTTTTTTTTTTCCTTTCAAATTAAATTTATGTTACTTTGACCAATGATCTTTTCTTAATTGTTGCAGATGGTACTTCCGTAAAATAAAACGAATCGAAGCTGAGAAGAAATTGCTCCTTCCTGAGAACGAACATGGCGCTTTCCTCATTCGCGACTCCGAGAGCCGCCATAATGATTTCTCCCTGTCAGGTAATGCTCTTTCACTCACTTTGAAATCGTATTGACAATTCCTAAGTGTAATTCGTCTAAAGTACCAAACACATGTTAAGGTATCCTGTTAGGTTGGATTTATATAATATGGTCACGTATGATTCATCACAGTACGTCCAGTGGCACGCAGAGTGCTAACTGCTATCTTATTACAAGTGTATCCACACTCGTTCTGGACGATTCGATCACGGTGCTAAACCGGTTACAGTTTTTCTAAGGCTCCTAGCACTGGCGCCTCGTGAGAACAAAGACCGAACATCCGTACGACTACCTCGATGCCTGCTAATTATTGTTGGCCATATTCTAAGTTTATTTGAATTTCAATACTTACCTATACATGATTATAGTTAAATACATGTACTCCTCGAGTTAAAACATTTATTTAAATTCAAAATGTCACAAACAGTAACGTGAAAAATCAATTAATACTAAAATCAAATCACGTTTCACGTTATAACTTTTATTGTACTTATTATAAAAATACTTTCCTCTTTGTTTGGCTTGTAATTTCATCCTGAATTAAACAGCACTGCAAATGTTCTACGTTTCTTACTTTTATGAAACTATAAACATACGTCAAGTTTTATACAACGATATTGTACAAACTTAATTAAACACGGGGAAATATTGCGATATCGATCGGCACTATACACTAGTACAGTGGACTATACACTTTTCCTGTTAATCACTACAAATGATTAACAATTTACTCTTGTAGTGCCTTGATATCCTTATTTTACGAAATGATAATTCTCCTAACCATGAACGTATAAATTTATTAGCGTTTCCACTACTCAAAAATATATATTTTGGAAGGTTCAATTACAAAGTAAAATGCAAGGTGAGGTGTGAATATAATGCAACATAATACTCTTAAATTTGACATAAGTAACAAAACATAGGTAATGTACCATTGGCATTCATGGTGGAGGAAATAAAAATAGGATAAATAATAATTAACAGTTTTCCAGCAACTGTTGATACAGATTTTTTTAAATTTAATTGAGTGGTATACATTATATAATCTAAAACATCTCAGTCGCACAACAATGATTGTAACAATATTAGTAACATAGTGGACGTTTTGTAAATGCATTGCAGGAGTACGCTCTTTTCTTGAAGGTTTGAAAATCGTATCACTCCAGTAAGTACCGCAGGCGATAATTAGTTCCACAGATTGGTTGTGCATGGCAAAAAGTGTCTTGAAGAGCGCTCAGTGGTGGAGTGCCAATTATCCAAGTGATGGGGTTGAAAATTTTGTCGTGTGGAATGAGGGTGGAAGATTACGGTCTCCTCCATGCCATTCCTCGGCGCACTTTCCATGATACATACGATAGAGAATGCAAATGCAACAACAAAATAAATACGTAACGCCAAGGCGCCGAGCCGATCGGAGATCTTCCGTCTTATCGACAATTCGAGTTGCTCTCCGTTGGATGCAGTCCAGAGAGAGGAGCTGGTACGGGGATTCCCTTGTATAGAGATGAGAACAATAGTCCATATGCGGTTGGCCATAGAGTTGAAGGCCTTGTGCCGAAATAATATACTGCCTGGATCCGTGCAGTACACACAGTTCTTCTTAACCAATTTGACCTTACCCTCTAAATGCCTGCGAAACTGGCCTTTAAACTGGTCTAGATTCAGTCGACCCCAATAAGTCCAACCTCCGCAAAGAAAGTTTCAATCTCAAACACAAGTTTGTTTCGGCTCTCGATAACATTTTTCTCCTGAGAAATATTGGGCCGACCGGTACAAAAGGTATCTCCCGTACTATCATCTGCACAGCAATGGATGCTGCTAGTTAGCAACATGTCATTGATATGCAGAAAAAACAGTATGGGTGATAGCACACAGCCTTGCGGGGGACACCAGCATTTACAGATTTGAAGTCGATAACGGCCTTACTTTTGGCTGCAACTAAACATTATCAAAATCGTTCTTAATATAAATGGAACAACGACTTATAAAAAGTAGTCATGGTTGATAGTATTATTGATAATATTATGTGGCTGATACTGATCCGCAGCTTTACTTGTCTTATTGCGTTAATGCTCAAAAGTGATTTGTTAATCAACGCACCCATTTTTTTCTGTTTAAAATGTCCGCTAGTTGCTATTCTGTACAGTTGATTAACATTTCGTGTTATTCCGTTAAAAATACATTATTTCAATTGTCCTTTACATAATATGTAATACTTTCATAATATTAAACTCACTTGTTTTCGTTTAAACTTAATACCACTCTAAAACCCCTAGACTTCCATAATTCGGTCCTGTCACTGACAGACGTCAGTAGACACCTATAAACTTTTTCCGTGACAAAATTCAGATATTATCACACAAAACAAGAATAAAATTTTATCTTCACTTATACATAAACATAATGATAAAAGAACAATAAGAGCAGAGAATGATATTGGATATCTTTCATCCAGGAACAGTCTTAAGGACCGAAAATTCGTATTCATGCATATCTAACTGCGTATTTTCATTAACGCCAGGAAAGCCCCAGGCGAAAACTCAACTCAACAAATTAATTTTAAAAATCAGCATGTTACATAATTTCTTAATAAACAGGATTAGATTTCACTTAAAACATTCTTGTGACCAAACTGTAAACTCTATCATAAAATCTAAATCAAAAAATTAGAAACTAATAGATTACTATTCGTTTTTTATTTTTACTGCTAACGATATTAAAATATGTACTAATAATTAGTACTTGCAGTCATAAAAGTAAAAGAAGCAAACAAGTATATTATGCACTAATGACACTATTTCAATAAGGTACGTAGTTTGTGCAATACAGTAACATCATTATTATATCATGACTTCGTGAGGTAATACATTAAAATAACTTTTGTCCTTTCAAATAAAAGACGTTACTAACGCATTATATCCATATATTTGTGCAACGATTACCTACATAATATATTTATTTAGTGATTTAGATTATATTATACTATTTCTGTTATTTAATTAATAGTTTGAATCTGTCCCCATTTTCCCGTATCTCTTTTAAAATATACGTTGAATGTGAAGAAGAATTAAAATGATTTGTTTCAGACAGACATGTCAAACGATTACACTTTATTAAACCACAATCCATTTTACCATCTCCTCTAACATCGTGAAATATAAAAACTAACAAGTTAGGTTTTACAAAAACTGCTGAAAGTAATAGTTATATTCTTAAAATTTAAGTAATCAGAAAGTACCCCAAATACGTATAAGCTGTTATAGTTTTCTGTTCCATATTTTACTTTTATAAATATAATATACTTGGATGTGGAGACCCTCAAACAAAATTACGGCATATAATGCAAGAGAAACGAGATGACAATAGCCTAAAATATATTAATTAACCTCAACTATTCCATTGAATAGTGAGAAGAACCAATAAAGTAATAAGATTTTCAGTACTAGTTCCACTAATAATAACTATGGAACCTGCAATCTAATTCATTTGAATCAGATAATACCAGTACTATCAGTAATAGTTTTATAGTTTCAAATATACGAATTCACTGGAACGGAGAAGATTTAATTTTAATTTTATTAATCTCGAAATAAATAATAATTTCTCAATCTAACTTAAAATAAGGTAGTCAAACCTTCCCGATTCCTAAAGCACGTAACAAATACTAGTAAACAAACATACAAATCTGATATTAAATAAAGAAAAACGGTCCTAGGTGAAAAATGATAGAAATTTTGAGTCGAGATGGAATCTAGAGCTTATTTTACTTTTTTTTTTGTTCGATAACTAACACCTCGATCACATCAATACTAACCTATAATTACAAAAAATTTTTAAAGACAACTCCCGCTCTTGGAATATATCCTGTGTTGCGGTTGACTTTACAAACACAGATGAAACGGACACAAAGAACACCCAGACTCAGAACGACAATTTGTGGATCACACAAAGTTTCGTCCCATATAGGGATCGAACCCACACCAACCAGCGTAGTAGGAAGCTCTAGGCGAGCGCTTAAGCTACTACGCCATCCGTGCAGTCAAAATTAAAAAGGGTATATAAGAAATATAATTAGCCTAAATTAAATAGACTTATAGCCTTAGTCTGTTGGTATTTCTGCACCGATTTCTTTAAAATATTGAAAAACTGTAGTGTGATTTTTTTTAATTATATAAATAATTTCATTCCGTGGGTGTCGTAAGAGCCGACTAAGAGAGCAAACTACGCAGGACAACAGCACTGCAAAGAAAAGGAAAACTTGACACAAACCCTATACCAGCCCGTCTGGCCAGTGTAGTATAGTAGGCCAATACCTCCTTTCTAAGGAGAGGCCTATGTCCAGCAGTGGACTATTTGAGGCTGTTGATGATGATTATGAAATAATTTAAACATAAAAAGATGTGCTATTGGTTTTCCTTGATTTTCACAGTTTTTTTTCTCAGACTGAATCAACTATCTATCTTAATTTATAAATATTTTGAAGTAAAGAGTTATTAAAAATTCAGCGTGCATTATTCGGTTGAGATAAAACCTTTAGGCTTTAGCTTTAATCTTTACAGCAAACCTACTCACACCTCCATGGGATCGGCGCCCCAAACATAAGTGTTAATCTCCGGTTAGAGATAAACCACGCCGGGGTCTGAAAAAAAGACCTCATCAAATGTTAATCGCATATAATATTCGTCGTATAATATTGACTTAATCTATCTTGATCCACTTAATTGAAATATTGAATATTAACCAAACTTCTTAAAAAAAACTAGAATGGTTTTTTTTTTAGTAAAATAATTTCTTATATTATTTTAGGAAATTAAACATTATTAAATATAACCAACGGGTCCGACAGGCATTGACTTACCCTAAAAAAAAGCATTGTGACTGATGAATGTGGCTGTTGGATTATTCTTTTTCAGGCCGCCAATGTTTTCGCTACAGCCAGTATATTACTGATATGATCCAACTAATAACGGAAACAGAATATAACTCATTAAGAGATTATA